ATAAACCATTGTTAAATATTTAGAACAATTTTGTTTATTTTCAATTTCTTTTAATCAACTAAACTACCCTAAATTTTAGCAAAAGTGTGGTTTAGCAGTTGATTTCTTTTTATCTTTTCTTGTATCAATTTTTTTTTTTTTTTTTTTATATGAAAACCTCAGGTCTCACCATACCCGGAGGTATGAGACTAATCCTGATCGAAGCTTAGATAAGTATCTTTAATCATAAGGTGCTTTCAATGCGGTTCAAACCCCTAACATACCTGAAGGTATGAAACTAATTCAGATCAAAGCTTAGATAAGTATCCTTAATCATAAGGTGTTTTTAGTGCGGTTCAAACCCTAACATTACATGTAAAATTTGCCCCACTTGGAGCTCACTTACCACCTGGGCCTTTTTTCGTTTTTAAATATCATTTATATAAGTAAATATTAACGGTATTTTAGATTAAAAAAATATGTTAATCGCTATTAACCGATAAGGGCTTAGTTGTCACTTTCAGATTTTACGGAAGTTAGCTAAAATTCAGGGACCAAAATGAAATTAGTTCTTATTATTCACTGACATTCATACACGGAATCGTGTGAACAAAACAAATGGAACTTTTAGGTATATATATTAAAATGTTAATTATGATATAATACTTACATGGCGATTTATGTATTAAATTTTATTCATGCATTAAATTTTTTAATTAACATATATACAATTTTGCATATATTTTACACACACAATCTCTTTTATTTTAAAATAAAATATTACATTATACTGTACCACAATGCAATATGAAGATTTGATATTTAAAAAAAAAAAAAAATTAAAGACTCTTAAATGCAACTTATTTTAAAATATCTAAAAAAAGAAAAAAAAATTATTTGACAAAGAATGTCAATAATTGATCCACACAACAATAGTCACCTAATTTTAAATTATTTAGTGAATTATTGTTTCCATATAGGTGGTGGAGTCAATTAAATTATTTTTCACTTTTTTAGTTATTTATTAAATTATTATCTCGATTTTGATCCTAAATTGCTTGAGGTATAATTAATAACAGAAATTTTTCTTGAGAGTTTAGAAATAAAATAAATTCCCTTATTATTAATGTGCCGTTAAAATACAGGACTGCCCTTACCTTAATACAAATATTTTTGTTATTATCATAATTTTAGGAGGATTTTTATTATTTAATTTCATGAAACTATTACTAAGTTAAAAAGAAAATCAATAAATTAATGAGCATGCAGAAATGTGTGATCTGATTGACTGAAATTGCTGCTTATTGCGAACACGCATGTAGGTTAACTTATCTCAAGAAGCCACTAGAGAAAACCTACGACAAGTCGGCAGCTTTGCGGCTCATGATTTTGTGGCCTCGGGTACACAGTAACATGCGGTGAACCCTCAAAAAGTTGAATTTATTTGCAGATATTCAAAATCAAAATCCTTCTTCCCAAAGGGTACGCTTGACATTTTTTTTTTTTTTCACGAGGAATTTTTAATTAGACTGGTTTTAAGGTGTTCTAAAATCATTACTTACCAAATTTTTTATATACTAATTTCAACTGGCTCAAAAATCCCCTAGAACCAGTGTAATATATTTTTGAAAGGTTTATAAAACACCTCAAATCGGGGTATTTTGGTTTATTTTAAAATTTTATTCCACAAATACCTTGTCCACTATAAAACTATCCCAATTATGTCCAAAAAAAATTTTAAACATATTATGCGAGTCTCCAACCATATTAAATATAAAATAATTTAAGCAATCATAAAAAAAAAAAAAATCATTAAAATCTAATTTCTAAATGTTTTTTTAGAGAAGTGGAGCTACAATTTTTCAATCATTCTAGATGTTGTAAAGAATGGCGAAGAATGATAAGGAGACTTTATCACATTTGAAGTTATAAAATACTAATAAGTAGAAAACAAATAAAGAACCCTCACCTTGTAATTGAAAAAACAAAACTCCTAAGTAATGGTTGAAGTTGGGGTATTTTTATAGGCATATATGTAAATTTATCATTTTAAAAAACTGTCAGAACCGCTTGAAAATAAACTCTCAAGCACAGGTTGGGTGTTTTAAAAACTGCTACTAAAAATCTCTCAAAACTGTTACTGGGGGTGTTCGGTTCCGGGTACCCTACACTTTTTAAAGGAATCGGAATCGAAATCGGAATCGGAACCGGAACCGGAACCGATGGTTCCTTGAAATTTGGAACTAGAACCGGAACCGACGGTTCTGGTTCCTAGGTACCCAGAACCAGAACCTGTAACAACGGTTCCGGTTACGGTTCTGGGTACCCTGTAAAATTACATAACCCCCCAAAAGTTTTTAAAATGGCAAAAAAAACTCTTAAAAACTTACAAATACCCCCCACCTGGCACTTGTTAATAAAAATAAAATTACAAATTATAAATTCAAAATGACAAACTCCATTACTTTATAAAGGTAGATTCTCAAAAGTCAAACCAACTTACTTTAAATGTACCCGTTGAAGGTTGGAACCAGAATCTACCCATTGATGATTGGTTCTGGGTAGGAACCGGAACCAAACCCAGGGTATCCGCCGGTTCCGGTTCCAACTGGTTCTTTTGAACACCCCTAACTGCTACAGTGGTTTACCCTCAGAACCGCTAGGTGGTTTACCCTCGTACCGCTACCATGAAACTCTCAAGCGGACCCTAAAAGGCTAAAACCTAAATCCCTAAAATTCGCTCCTTTTTCTGAAGCCAACAATACCTTAACCTCTCACTTTTTCAATCCATCAATATAAGGTAAATTCACCGCCAAATATTTTAATTGATGGAAAATTTGATGCTGCCTTGTGTTATTGTAAAATTTGTGTCGAATTTTTCGTTTGTAGATTGACTATTGCGAGAACCATGGTTTTAAAATTCGGCCCAGCCCAGCCAGTTGAACCAGTTCGACCGAGAACCAGTGGCTAGACTGGGTTGGTTCATATAAAAATCTGGAATCAGCAATTGACTCGTTTCCACCAGCGGTTCGACTGGTTTTTTTGCGACAAACCACTAGTCCAACTGGTATAAACCGAGTCTGCTACAGTAAAATATAAAATAATAAAATTAAAAGTTAAAAACTCAAAACCCTTTTCTGAGTTTTCTCCCTTCCCCAATTTTATTCAACAATACCCAGCACTAGTAGAGAAGAAAAATAAAAAAACCCATTACCAAACAACGAAATCAGCTTCAGCTTGCACTCTCTCTATAATGGTGACACTGGTTTACTCTTTCTGGTTTTACTTTGGTTGTAATGTTGTTGTCTTTTCGATCTGACTGGTTTCATTTGGCTATGATTCCAAACTTGGAGTGTTAGTTCTCTTTTCTCCATTTTTTTTCTAGTTTATTTTTGTGTTCCAGATTTGGGTAATCGTAGTTGTAGCCGTTGCATAAATTGTGAGTTAAATTGAAAAAATGTCTGACAAAAACATCCCTTGTTTGTTTTATACTATTCTCAAAGAGTGATGAATTTTCATTGTGCTTTGTGGGGAGAGAGTTTATGGATGATTCAAATTCTCCGTCTTAAGCTTTCCTCTCTAGTTTCTCTCTTCTCTATCCAAGTTGGTATGTTGTAGACTTAGTAATTTTAATTTCATTTAAGATTTGGATATATTAGTTACAGGGAATTTTTTATTATCACTGTTAAAAATTAAAATCTGCATTTTGTTTATTTATTTATTTTTTTTTTGTTTTTTGCCGAAATCAATATGATGACATCGACGGGCCGGACCGTTTAACCCGTCAAACCCATGCTCTGGTGGCTTGGCTGGGTTGCCTCCGGGTCGGGTTTTAAATTCTTGGCGAGAACTTTTGCTGGAAAGCTTTTGTTTTGTATTTTTTTTTTTTTTTAAAAATCTAGAGATGGGTTAGGGACACGTTAAGTACGCTATAAATAATGAATTTACTTAGTTCGAAGGATATAATGTACAGAAAGACAAAAAAAAAAAAAAATACAGTTCTCGATGCATTACTGTGCTAAGATTTTGGTCTTGTAGTGTGCTTGACGCGTGCCCAGCACACGTAAAGTCAACCCTTCAGAGATTGTTCATAAAGTTTGTGGCTCCGTTTGGTTCAAAATTTGGGGGTTTTGGAAAAAGTTTTTTGAAAAAAGTTAAAAAAAAGTTGAATTGGGCGGGTATTACGATGTAGAATTTATAAATTAATAAAATACCTTTTATGTTTGTTTTTTTACAAAATACCCCCTATAATAAAACATTAAAAGTTAACAAAAATACCCCTAATCCACCCTCAAACACCCCCAGCCGGTGACCACCACTGGAGGTGGCCGGAGTCGCCGTATGGGCGCATNGTCTAGTAACTCCTTAGAGAATAATCTTTAGGGATTTCAATTTTAAATCTTTGATTGTATTTGCGTTTCTATCGAGTTTGTCTCATATTGGTTGCTCAGAAACGGCGGGAAAATAGAGTAGAGAAGAAAGGAAAATTTTGAATGTTTATTCTTACTTTAACTTTTTTTTTTTTTTTAATTTAGAGAATTTCATCTGCAGAAAGTTAATTCGATGAATTAAAAATTTTGTTCTGGCATGTTGTTTTTGTTCAGAATGAAATGAAAAATATCAACTTGGAATTAGAGTGTCATAAGTAAAATAAGCGCATCAAAGCTTAGCTTGGAGGAACAACATGATCATTACATAAGAATAGTACGGGCAGCAGGCGGTAGATGTTGCAATGAAGGCGGAATTTATTCCTACCATTTCTGGGAAGGAAATGAAAAGAAAAGTGGTTGATTTTCATGGATTAGATGTATGCTGGATTTAGGTTTGGGGCCGGACCTGGGCTATATTCCCAAATTCACAGTTGCCTCATGTCTGATCGGGTTCAAATTTTTTAAATGATATCATCTAGTCTCATTAATGGCTTAAACTTATTGTATATTCATTCATAAATACTGTAGAAAACCCATCAAGCTGCTTATTCACTTGATTCTGAAACTTCATGTTTTCTTGATTGACTGTAGTTTTCTAGATTGGGAAATCACATGACATATGCTCGCTCTTTTACTCTTTCTAAGACCTTGTAAGTATGTTTTCTTATTTGCTTTTGCTAAAACTTTATTATGTATCATTTCTAGTGGGGTACTTAAATTTATGTTACTCTTAGCTTTCTGTTTTGGTGTTTGTGTGTGTGTCTGTTGGGTTGTTTGGAAACAATGAACTAACTGTACTTTCAACTACCCAACAATGAGAAACTTTAACATCAATTAAATTGTTCTCAAATATAGTTGAAATATTTTCATATTGAGGTCATTTTATCTAATATATAGCTGTTGAATTTTAGGAATTTTGGAGCTATATTACCTTGGCGGTCATTGAACTTTTACTTGAATCATCTACCAAATTGTTCTGTTAGGGCAATAAGGATGGAAAGCAATAACAATAACAATTGCAACCTAAGTGTTGGTAATACTGATTCAAGAGGTGCTTTGATAGTTCTAGAGGGTTTGGATAGATGTGGGAAGACTTCACAATCTGGTAAATTACTCTCATACTTGGAGGGTCTGGGTCACTCGGCTGAGTTATGGCGATTCCCTGACAGAACTACAAGTGTCGGGCAAATGATATCTGCTTATCTTTTGAATCAGTCGCAGTTGGATGATCACACAATTCATCTGCTCTTCAGTGCTAATCGTTGGGAGAAGAGGTGTGTCTCGATATCATGCATTGCTTATTATGTTTTACTTTAGAATATTATACACATAAGCTGATTTTTTTTGTTTGTGTATGTGTATGTATTTTATTGTTTTCGTTAGTAGTTTCTTTGCATGGGGCAGTCAGTTGTACTTAATGATAGTTCAAAGGCAGAAAACTGAATTGTGTATCTGGCATTGGGGTGGTTGTGAGGTGGGGCTGCCTTTACTTAGTTGATTCGAGAAGCCATTTTAGTGAATCCAATTATTTTGCTCCGTTTTTCTATTTCTGCTATCTTGGATAGATAGAAATCACTTCCAAGAGATTTGAATTTGTTGGTATTGACCATGTCCTCTTATTTGTGTAATAGCTACATGAGCTCTTGGGGGAGATGATTGTATGCTATGCAGGCCTCTTATAAACATTCATCTTTTTATTTTGGGTAGTAGTTGAGTGGAGTTTTGCCTTCAGGTGGGCATGGTGGCATACATGGTAATATTTCCATTTTCTGCTTCTCCATGTGGTGGTCTAGTAACAACAGGGTTATAGTGGAGCCATCTGTGCACTTGGTAGTTACGTTAGCTCCTTAGGTGTAATAATAAGTTTGGGTTTCCTGTAGCATGGACACTCAATAGTTTGCTATCATTTGAGGTGAAATTCTCTGACAAGTTTGTGGCTTTCTTAGGTTTGCAATACTCTAAACAGAACTAACTAAAAGTTATGAACACTAATTTTTCAGGTCAATGATGGAAACTAAACTGAAAGCTGGAACTACTCTAATTGTTGACCGTTACTCTTATTCTGGGGTGGCATTCTCCTCTGCCAAAGGAGTTGATGTTGAATGGTGTAAGGTGAAGAAAAGCAGAAAATGGTTTTACAAATAAACTTTTTGTTTGACATCTGTTAGATATTTAACGTGATTTTCTTTTGCAGGCGCCCGAAATTGGGTTGCTGGCTCCAGATGTGGTACTTTTCCTAGATATACCACCAGAGGTTTGTTGTTTATGTCAACTGTCTTATGTTTTGGATGATCAGAGGCAAATATCGCGACTTTTGCCCTGAATTTTACATCCCAATTACATTTTGCCAGGCACCTTGCTCTTAGCTGTGCATTATTCATATTTTTGACCAAGAGATCTTTTTCTCTTTCTGAATATTTGTTTTGAGGCAGGCAAAGAAACTTTCTTGTCTGATGGCTAGGTTTTCCAACCAAGTTTCGTGAGAGACATCACAATAATCCCTGAATAAAGTGGTTTTATGTTTACTGTAAACAAATTAATGTGGTTTTATGACAATTCCTGGCAGTGAATACTTTGTAAGTCCATAGTTATTTTTTTCAAAAAGATGACTCATTCACCCATACACTGAAAAGTTTTGGCCTCATATATATAATTTTGGATTTTCTTTTTAACTTTTAATAAAGATGAGAAACCATTCGTGAAGCCATAGTGTTCATACAATGTTGGTGGAATTTTTGTTTGCACGAGATTATAGGTATTTAGTATCCAGAAAAAAGTCGGTGTAAGTAGCATCTTAGGGACAACCCAGCCATGTTCATTAACTTCAATTGATCATCATATTTTACTGCTGGAAAGTGGAACTTAATATTGTTTTTAAAGAAATTATCATGGAGCTTGTCATACAAATTAAACTATATCTCATCAAAGGCTGATGTGGAGGGGATTCATCCATAGTCCTCTCATTCCACAGAGTAACGTCTTATCAGCTGGACTGTCACCTGGGACATCACACTTGTGAGAATGCCTCTTTGGTGCATGCATTTTGGAGGTCTTATTTAGTTGGTACTTATTTCTTTCTAAAATCCTCTAGAACTGAAATGTTGCTTTAAAATTGTCAGAAAGCTGCTGAAAGAGGAGGCTATGGAGGTGAGAGATATGAGCACCTTGAGTTTCAAAAGAAAGTTGCCCAATGCTATCAGATCCTCCGTGATTCCTCCTGGAAGGTAATTTTTTGTTTTGTCTGAATAGAAAGGCTTGCATACTCTGCATCTTGGTTATGAATAATGATATTGTTCGTGGATCATACCACTTGAGCCTTTCACAAACTCTTGGCTTTTGGTGGCTGCAAACAAAAATTTCTGGTTTCTTTTATAATTTTACTGAGTGTTGGTTAAACAAAGAAAAGCGACCACACAAGTGTCTGATCACCCTCATCAATGCACCTTATCATATGTCCGGTTCAGGTGCTTACCAAATACAAACTACTAAAAGACTACCAATAGGTGATATTTTTTGCCCATCTTTATAAACTTAAGATCTTACCCATTTTAATCCGATGTGAGATCACAACACATAAAATTAGAATTTGTTTTGTTTTCATGGGCGAGCAGTCGAAGTGCTAATCGCTGTTGTGATTGCAGATCATAGATGGCTGCCGAGGCATTGAGGAAGTTGAGAAAGAGCTGCGTGATATTGTAGTGGATCATGTCTTAGCTTGCAAAAAGGGGAAACCCCTTTCCCTCCTCTGGTCACCTTAGTTAATTCATTCTATCTTTTGTTCATGAAGAGAACGTGAAATAGGTATTGTCCCGAGCTTTTTTCTCTGAGTGTTTTTCTCTCTGCAGAATCATTGATTACTTGACCAAAAACCCATTGAGTTTCATATTCATATAATTTAATATTATGACTTTTTCATATTTCTGGGAATCTTAAGGTTATCCGAAATTATTGGTTAAGCAATACATTGCAATTTCGTAATTCAATATGAAACAGTTAATTGTTTAATTCAATTAAAAAAGTGAGAAACTATGTGCTTCAAATGTCACCAGAGTTCTGCAATATGTGAAGGGTCCATGACCCTCGTGAATCACCTCTTTTATGGTTTATCACTTCATCTTAAATCTTACGGAGATGTTGGCCACTGTCTTCTGATGGCTGCGTATGTGGCGGTTCTAGTTTCTGGGTTTTACAAAAGAAAAAAAAAAAAAAAAAGATTATGTTATTTGATATGAAAATTACTGAATTAGCCTTCTCAGTCTAACTCTTAACGTTAACAATAACTTATGAGTAATGCTACAGTTATCGAAGGTTGCGTACTGAATGACGTGGCAAAGTATTAACCGTTGATTCATTATTAATTAATATTAATCAACGGTCAATATTTTGTTACGTCATTCAGTGCACAGATTTAGTGCGCAACCTTCGGTAATTGTATCATTTTCTATAACTTATTTAAGGGAAGTAAGCTTATATTTCGAAAAGGTTTTGACATTTGTGTCTATCGTAGCTTTCTAAAAATGTTAACACCTCTGCTGGTATAAAGGTCATTACAGTAATTTTAATTAAAAAAAAAAATAATTTCAATAATCAAAATCTCCGTCTATCTGAATTAGGGTTGTTCAACGAACCGAGCTGTTTGCAAGCTGACTCAGCTCGACTCGAGTCTGGCTCATTAATAGCTCGGTTTGGCTGAGTTTGAGTCGGCTCGGCTCGTCTGGCTCGCGAGCCGAGTCAAGCTCGAACTGGAAGGGGCTTTTAATAGAGTTTTCAGAGTAAGGGGGATTACAATGAAATTTTTAAAGGAAAATGTTTTAAAAAATGACAAACATCCCCCCGATTTTTAAGCTCTAAAAACACGATCAACGAGTGTTTGCCATAAAACCAAAGAGGGGTGAGCAATTTCAAGGGTCTTTCGTCATCTCCGGTAAGTGTAAGCCGCCGCCGGTGTCTTTCGTGGTCACCATCTGCTTCGCCATAGGCCCGATTGTCTCCTTTGAATCTCGTCGTCAAAAGACCCAAAGGCCAAAGTCCGAAACCCATCTGCTTCGCGGAATCGCCGTCGTTTGTCGTTATGAGTGCTTGTCGTCGCCGTTGCCGTGAATGTTGTTGTGTTGCTGAACGTGTCGACTAAAGGTATTTGACTCTGTCTCTGTGGGTGTAGTTTGCGGCCATATCTGATTACTTTTTTGTGTGGTGTGGGTGTAGTTTGCGGCCATCGTTAAGCCTAAAATCATAGAGCAATTCGCTGAACCTGTTTGAAATTGGACCGTTTGTCTGATTCTGTTTCGGGGTTGACTGTGGTGGACCTGAAAGAGTACTTGACTGATTTGAAGAGTATGAAGATAACCACTTAACCAGTGATGCAGAAATCTCGGATATTAAGAAGGCTAGATTGTTGTTGAAGAGTATAATTCAAACAAATCTGATTATTTTTTTGGTGTGGTGTGGATGTATTTTGCTCCCCAAATAATCTGCCGATTTCTTATGCAAACTGTGAATATTTGACAGGTCCCAGAATATGTTTGCAGTTTGTTGCACGGTGAGGAGTTTGAGGACTGAGGACTGAGGACCAACCATCTGCTCTAAAGAAAATATACTTTTTTAAAAGAGTTAACACTTAGCAGGTATACCGTATACACAAGTCATTTGTAAATTGTAAATTGTAACTTGTAAGTTGTAAGATTGAGGATTGAGGATTGAGGAATAAAGGATAGTTTAATTTATGCAAGCTGTGCTGCACGTTTGTAACTTGGAGTTGGAGAACATTTAATGGAAAATAAATGATTTTAAAGATAAAAGATGATAATATTTTAGTTGGCTGCTGGTCCCCCATTGGTAAAGTAATATGAAAAACAAAAGTTGCTGCTTGTTGGTCGGCTGGTCTCTACTGCTACTGGTGAATGGAAATTAATAAAAGATGCATTAAGGCATTAATAAGAGGTAAATTAATAACAGCAGCTGTGCAACCAGCAAAACAAACCTGCAAAATTACCCTTAAAAGTGTGAATGAAGGCTGACAAAACTGAGGTAAATTAATAAGAGCAGCAGCTGAGCAGTTGAAATAAAAATGTTGCTTTTAATGTTTATGTAGTTGAGTGGGTTTACTGGAGTTGAAATAAGAATGTTGCTTTTAATGTTTATTGGCTGTAGCAGTAGGATTGTGCAGGTTTGTATTTATTAATTTTGTGTTCGAGTTTGCATTTTCATCTTTATGTTACGGTTTATATACAATGATAGTTATACTTATGCGTTTCAGTTAATTTGTTTGTTAGAGGAGTGGGGCTGGAATGGATATACAGGCTACAGTCAATTATATTTTGAGGATTTTGACAGTTTACACATTTTATTTTGTTGACTGTCCTTATATATATATATATATATGTTTGGGGATGTAATTTGATGTATAATTATGTTAACCCTCCATTTTATTTTGATGAAAAACTAATTAAATCAAGCGAAGTAAATAAAAAATTTTAGTTCACTTCACTTAATTTGTCGTATATTCTTAACATAAGTGGGATGCTAAATAGTAAATGCTTAACATCAGTAGTATTTTATTTTGATGTTTATTTTTTAAAACGGTTTAGTTGTTGTGTAATATATCAGGACATGAATTGCATGGAATATACTGTAAATATATGGGAAAACACTGTTTTTCTTTTTTTTGGCTCGCGAGCCTACCTTGAAATGCCGTCCCCATACATGAGCTGAGCCGAGCCATCATATTTGCGACTTGGCTTGGCTCAACTCGAGCTCATTTGTGCCTCTTGTTTCACGAGCCTAGCTCGTTAAACTAAAAACTCAACTTGGCTCGGTTCGTGAACAACCCTAATCTCAATCTCTTTCTCTGGCTCAAAAAAGAAAAATATCGAAGCCCACACCACATGTAAACCTTTCAAGAATCCACCTTCCACTAAAACACCACCACCACAACCACACCTGTGAATCCATGGATTTACAACAGATCACGACTCAATCACCATGTGAAAGTATGATTGCCGTCTGACCAACTTTCAGTTATATTATAAGATTTACCAAGTTTTACCGTGGATTCAGTGAGAGGTTGATGTTGAACAGTGAGCATGGACATGGATATGGATATGGATATGCTTATTATACCTGTATTCTCTTTTTAATTAATAAAGTCCATTTTCATTGATGATTAATCGTTAATTGGTGAGACAAAACAACTCTCACCTCATAGTCTTAAGTACCATTCAATTATAAAAATTTTCAAACTTACAATTTTTTTATCAAAAACAAAAATAATTTTTTATATTAAAATTTATCAAAAAAAAGATTTTCCGAAAGTACCTTTTTATTATTTTTAAAGCTTCTAAATGTTTTAATTGTATTTTTCTAAAAAATAAGTATTAATATATTATTTTTTACAAGGCATAAACTCTTTTTTTGTAGTATTGAATATAAATTTGATATTAAGAGTAGAATCATATAAAGTATAAACCCAATGTTGAAATGACATAACACTAACAGTGGCCGATTGCAGTCCCGAGCTGGGAATTTGGGACCGGGCCCAAAGCCTAGCTCCAAAATCCGGTCTTAGGACCGGACCTAGTAGGCCTGGTCCCAAAACGGGACCAGGCCTAAGGAGGAGGGCCCGGGCCCTCCTCCAAGGCCCGGGCTTGGGACCGATCCCAAGCCTGGGCCCAAAAACTTTTGTATTTTTTTAATATAGTCTCCTACCAAATTACATAAAACCCCCTATTAATTTTTAAATAAATATAAATTATGAGGGTTAAAATAAAATTTTACAAAATTTATATAAAAAAAAAATCTTCCAGGTCTAAAAAATTTATAAAATTTATAAATTTTACCCCTAAAAAATACTAAAAACCCCCTATAAAATTTTGTTTTACCCCCAAAATTAAAAAAAAATTGAGGAGAAAAAATAAAATTATCCAAGCCTTATGGAACCGGTCCTAGGACCGATCTTGAACCCATGAGACCAGTCCCGATCAGGCCTAAGGCCTGATCTGGGTCCTGATTTTTCTCATAAGCCTGGGACTGATCCCAGGCCTATGAGTAACTGGTCCTATTTGGACCCAGTCCAAAACGGACCCAGACCTGAGCCCGTAAGGGACCGGTCCCTGCCCACGTCTTTGCAAGAGATGGAGGGCACTGTAAAGTTTTAATCAACCAAAAGAATTTTCAAGTTTTGATTTAAATATAAATATAAATATAGATAATACTATTTTGTACCATTACTTTTGGACTTTAATTGATGTGACACTAATCACCTGTGTTTTCCCTCGCATTAATTATAAACAATGAGATTTTTATTTGGTAAATAATAGCAATTTTTTTTTTTGTCTCCCAATATTCAAGAAGGTATGAGATTAATCGACATTATAAATAAAATTCGTCTCACTTGAAGATCAATTATCAATTGGGCAAGCATTATTCAATTACGATAATATTGTATTTATAAAATTTATATCTTAAATGTCACGATTAATCAAATATAAACATCATCCACGTTATTAACATCACTTGTAATACAAAATTTGAATATAAACTATGTAAATGTGTGCATTATTCATAAAATTTATGCTAATGTAAATAAAATTTTAAACCAATGTATATTATATATCAGGCTAAGTTATATGACATTAATAGATTACTTATCATAACAGCCCGTTATTCATCCCAAATGATGTGTAATATAAATATTGTCAAATCATTTAATGCATTATTTGAGATGGGTAAATTTAGCTTAGTTTTCACCAAAACCTGATAAAATAAAGTCTTCACATGACTTAATATCCGATTGTCACAGGAAACTATATCTACACTTCTCAGTTTCAATCCCATACTAGTACGAATAATATATATATATATATATAATATTTACACTTTGGACTTGTTCGCTGCTAGCTTCATCACTACTGCTTCTTGAAGGCATCGATTCCATGCATGATCACAAACCCTAATTGTCACATTAAAAAAATTGGTAAGCCAAATCTTTGTTCTATATTACACAATAAACAATGTTGTTTCATCTATGCACTAAATAAAAACAAGAGGTCAAAATCATCGTTACAAATTCTTTATACAAATTATGTTAGTTTGACGGTAATAGTTTACATATGCAGTATATATTATTCTTTTTAATTTATATATACATATTGTTCATGGAAAAAGAAGTATACAACATAACAATTTTTAGCTAGAAATTAGATTGATTATATAAGAAATGCTCAAAATAACACTTAATATATATATACATTCTATCTTTTTAAAACCTATTGAATATATCCTTTACTTATTTTGTTGTGGTAAATCTTTAGAGAGAATATATATTAGAATATATCTTTGTTGCAAGTATTGACGTGACATCTGTTATTGGTTGGTTGGACATACTACATATCACAGGTACCAAGATTTGTTAAATATAAATACTAATAACTAATTGTAAATTAAGTTATAATATTCTATCAATACTTAGATATAAATAAGCTTAATGTGTATCGGTAAGAGTTATTGATTTGCAATACTGTGGTATAAGTTTTGTTGGATTGAATATATTCACAGACTATTTTATACTTATATGCAATTTTTTTAAGACATAAATACCACTGGGCTTTAAAAAAATTATCTGGCCACCATCGCCAACTGTCCCTGGCCGGTAACGGAATGGCACACGACCAACGCCTGATCTATGGTAAAAAAAGGTTATGGATCTAGCTATGAAACGACGACTATTTCACAACCACATCTTTGATCGTGAAAGGCCATGGATCTAAAAAGGTTTTACCAATGCACAGCTAACTAGATCCAATCGGTCGTATGCCATTTCAGTAGCGGCCAACGATGATGGCTGATTAGTTATCAACAATGGTTTAGTAAGAGTGATTTTGTTACAAATTAAAGTTTTATATAATTAAAGTGTTTGAGCAAAATTTCAAATGTAAAGGTTAAAAGAAATGATTTAGAAAAAAAATATATATATTATATTAATATTTAAAAAAGAAGATAATTTAATAATCTTTATAATATAACTATCAATTTATTTCAATCTATCCAAACATATTCCTTTAACCATTTTATGTAATCTTAAAAGTAATCTATTTTTTCATTTTAATATAAGGAATACAATAATCCTTTAACAAGTACTAAGGCGCCAAGCCAGTCAATCTTAATTACTAAACTTTAATCATTGATGCCCCGTGCCTAACTTAGAATCTCTATTCTATTTGATTTTTGTCACCACGTTTCAATTTGTCAGATATGGTGCATGCATTTGTTGGCTTACTTAACTTCCGTAATCAATTCGCCATCGATTTAATTAATGACCTTCTTCTTCATATTTGGCATAATATAACATATAGTCGAGATTACCTGATAATTCCTTTTAGGTTGTTGACGATATATAAGGTTGGAGGCGTCTTCAACGTCCCAAACTGAGCGCAGCCTCAACGTCAAGCCGCCATGCAAATCCTCCACATTCCATTCTCCAAACATCACACGGCATTACCATCTTCTTCCAGTACTTTTCCTTCTTCCATGTGTACTCCATCCTCACTTTACACGTTAATGAACTGAATACCCATGGCAACTTCTCTTTCATCCCCAACAACACCACTATTGTCGTGCTCTCTTCTGAATTCTCACCTTCACCCTCACCCTCACCCTCACCCACTTCCCTCACCCTCACCATCCTCCTATAAGCTCCATTCACCCACTTCACTTTGTTCAACCCGTCTGATATAAACCCCGGACACGTGTCATTCTCTAGATTCTTCATTATCTCAAAGTCCTCACTCCCCAACCCTCCTCTCCCATCCATGCATGTATCACCATCACTACTCATAACTCTCTCCACCGTCACCCACGTCTCCACCACTCTCCGGCCACCCATCTCCACCCTCTGATCTGCCAAACCTATCCCTCCCACTTCTTGAAACCCTTGATTTATTTTATTTTCAATTACCACCTTTTCTTTCTCTTTCTCAATCTCTATTCCCGTACCGTCGACATCAATATTGCACCACGGCTCTCTTCTTTTTGAATACTCTAAATCACCGCCCTCCGGCAACAACTGTAGCGTCACGATCTTATCGTCCAGCCCATCTTTATTACAACTTCCATGATGATCAGTACTCGTTTTGTTATTATTCTTTCTCCTGTAATCCCTATTCTTCCGAACTCTAACGTACTTTCTCTTAGATCTACCATTACTAATCATCAAGTTCTTGTTTACAGCTTGTAAGTTACCCGAAGCAGCACCTCCGGCAACCGGTTTCGGTGCAATCGGCCGGAATCCGAGCATTATTCTTTCGATAACCGTTTTATCCTGCGCAGCACCAGCCCGCGTTAGCATGCGCCACCTATCTTTAGCTTGAACTTCCATTTCCATCCACCAGAGCGTCTTTTTTCTCTCTAACTTTACTCTCTCTTGCAGTCTTTCTCAGTGTCTCAGACTCAGAGAGAGAGTTCAGGCGATAATCATAGCAGAAGTAGATATCCTTCGTCGTGAAAGCACCACGTGTCTAGGGCAACATTCGTAGCACTGGAAAGACATGAATTAAGAGGGCCCCTATACAAAGGTAACGTATCTGACATAATAGAACGGTAGCTCCGGTCCCACCCGTGTTGGCCAATCAGGGACGAGCTCGTGTCTTGCACTGGGTAAAAGTGGGTACACGTGGGCACTCTCTTGAAAATAGCGTACTATTACGTCAATTGTAAAATGAGAAAAATAAAAAAGGCGTTTAGGGGAGGTTCGAGAAACTGCACACGTGGTTCACTCTTATTAGGAACCAAGCATGTTCAATCCCATTCGCTCTTTTACTGCTTCCACTCGCTCCTCAGGGGCGTGTGCATCAAAAATCTAGGGAACGGCCTGACTGTTATTACAAATCTTTTGTTGACAGTCCTCGTCACATCAAAATTAAAAAAAAAAAGGAAATTTGTCGAAGAAAATATCTTTGCCCATTTTGTCTTGGAATAATTTATTTTTCTACAAATGAAAATAAAGAGAATAAAATGAAAAATATGGAAATGTGAGAATCAGGAATGTGTTGAGAGAGTGGGGGGTTATTGTAAGGTAGGATGAGGACACGTGGGTGGAGCCGTGGAGCAATGTGTAGGTAGCGTCATATGAAATCAAGCGGGGTTCCACGTGGTAACACAATGTGGTTTTGATTCAATCTCCAATTTATTCTAATGGGTCCTACACCTGGTCCAGTTAATGAGTGTTGTTTAGTTAAATTTATTAGTGGAATATAATTGGCTTCTCCTAACCAATCAAAACTTGAGAAGTTGAAACGTTCACATCCTCTTTACATTATGGGACTTTTCCTTTTATCTTGCATTTTTCTATTTATGGTTTACGGGGGTGACCACGAGACCTATTAAAACCCACCACCACAAATACCACGGTCCCACTGCCCATACCCATCACCCTCAGATTTCACGTATCTACTATCTAAGGGCTATGATTTAATTGGTTGGGTTGGGTTGGATTGGTCTTCATAAACATTAATACTTATTTTTTTAAGTCAACAAGTTTCTATCAGACTAAGACATTGATAGCGTCTACACAAAATTGATGTAATTTTCATCCAATTACCCCGTCGTTTTTCTATTATTATAATATTAATAGCTCTAATCATATGATTATTTAATAGGTCCTCCAAAAAATTCATGCCATCTTCACATAAATATGACCATCACAATAAAAAAAAAATATCATACACTCTAAAGTATTTTATCATTTTATAGGCTTGTGGCATAAGAGATGAACAAAAATAATACTTCTGAGTTTGGGCTGTCCATATTTTTTTTGGACTGGGCCGAATTTGGGCTTCGGAAATCACCATGACCCAAATCATTATGATTTGATCGTCCCAACAGTGGATCTGCTCAAACAAACGCCTGAGGTCCTCCTCTGACCATACAAACAAACGGTGGATATGACAGCAGATTGGTACGTTGGAGAGGGTGCGACTGCAACTACTCCGTTTGATGCCACGCCGACCAAACACCAGCCAAATCTCAATTATTGATTCGCTAAAGAATCTTTAGGTTCACCCCGGGAAACTTCGGATGTTGGAGGAGAAATGTATGCTGGAGAAGTAGAGTGCCTCCTGCGGAAAGATGGATTTTCTGGGTATAATCAAATCAAAATGCACCCGGACGACCTCTACAGATTTGCTCATTCCGCACCCCTTTCGGCATTTACTCTTATCTAATCTTGCCCTTCAGGTTAAAGAATGCAGGAGCAACAACTCTCCAGGCGATGACGCAAATCTTCAGAGAGATGTTGCATAAAACCTTAGAATGCTACGTATGACCTGGCCGCAAAAAGCACTTTCTAAAAAAATGCAAAAGTGTAATACTTGTTTGGGGAAACGTTAAGAAGCAGGTCGGTATGTTCCCTGAATGAAAACAAGCTTTTGTTAATTATATATTTATCTATTTATTGTATGAATATCAAATTCTTTCCGTTTATGTTTGAAGAACTGCGTGCGGCAACTTCACATCCTTAATCGTTTTAACTCTCTGTTGTAGAAATATCTGCAAGTACTAATACAATATTCACGTTTGGAAATCATGTTATTTACGTGTTTACTAATTTTGCGCTGGATAACTTGGAATCGACATTCATTTTGGTTCTCAGTTAGAGCACGAATTTTAGAAATTGAAGTGTTTTGATAGTTGTTATAGAATGATAATTAATAAAATCCGGGTTTTTTTTTTTAATACAATGTATTGTTGATTAATCTCTTATTAACATGTTATCTATCTCATATATTGCAATGAAGTAGAAAATACTTAATAATTAGCAACAAGTGGGATCATAAGTACAGGGGAAATTTTTTGGCATTACATAGCTGGAATGTTTTGAAACAGGATTGCAGCTGCAGCTGTGAATTTAAATTGACATTAAAGAGTTAAAAAGTTGATGGGTTGCAGTAACTGTAAAAAAAAAAAAAAATGTTAGTTTGTTTTGAGATAGTGAATTAGTTGAGAGTGTAAATCTTGCAACTATACTTGTAGCTTTTATTGAACAAAGTCTATATTCCATTGTTGTCTTTGTCAAAGTAACTTTTTATTTATTTATTTATTTTTTTTGGCAAATGTATATACAGTTGGAAAGTGTCACTGAATAGGGTATTCTAAATTGTAGAGCTAAAGATTACTGCATATGGAGAAGCTTCTAATTGTGCAATCATCTTTGCATTTCTAGAGTTTCTTTAAATATGATAGAGTACATTCTGATGCTTAGGACTAGAAACAGTTTTATTTAATGCATATGAAATGTTAAATGTCTTACAATTGTTAGAACTTTTGTGTAACTTTTGCCAGCATAGGCTCTTTGATTAATTCATTGAGTCCTTATGTCTTACAAGCTACCCACAGATTGACAATCAAATAACTTTGCTTTGTTGATCCCAAAAGTTATTTTATGGGATTTTGTTCATAATTATGTGTTGACTAAAATATCTTATCTAGTACCTTCTTACAATTCATTGGAGTTCACATTTTGTGACTTGAGTTTGAATCTAGCAGATCATAAACATTGACAAATCTTGCATTCTCGTGGATCCTATAAATGGTGTTTTATGTTATAGCATTCTACCTCCTGAACTGCTAGAAGGGTTTAATTTGCTGTTAGGATGCTAAAATACAAAATATATAATTTTCCCCAAATTTTCTGCTTTTATTGTATGCTAAACATGTCACGTTCTTAAAGTTTTTGGCCTGGACACTCTTCTACGATTATAAAGAAATATTGGACCAAAATTTAACTTCTATCTTAATTTTTTTAAATACCATACTGTTGGGTTTATTTCCTTATTTGATGTGCGTATTTCCAGAGACTTTCATTACTTTTTTCAGGAATACATTTTTTTTTAAAAAGACTTTTTATATCTGAATTTATTGATCTTATATTTTATTAAGAATGGTTTTGCATGAGAAAAACCTGTGTAGTTTAGTTGGCTGGATTTTTCTGCAAGGAGCAAAAGTTTTATTGATTCATCTGCTTCACAGCAAGGACAATGTAGTTAATTTGTGTTTGTGTGAGGTGGATTGCGGTGTGTGGTAAAAAATATAAAGGAAAACTATAAAGGGAGTTTTAGTTTTCTGAGGTAACTTTGCTAAGAAAGGTAAGTTAATTATGTTTACACAACTTTTTCAAGCCAATAGAATCTAGCCAAATTTTGTAAAACGTATGCAATTTTGGACACGGGTCACGATGAAGTGATCATTTTGTGACACAATATGTATGCTATAAACATATATGCATGCACACAAACGAGCGTTACAAGTTGTGATCTGAGGCGAAGAAAACGAGGGAGAGAGATGCAAAGAAGAGAAAGAGGAGGTAGCTATCACTATCATCTCCGACCACAAATGCAACTACCGTCTACCTTAGGTATTTATTCCCTTTAATCATAGATTGTAATCATGATCTTTCTGTGATCTCATTGAATTACTTGGAGTATTTTATAAGTAACCATCCTATTGAAGTCTACTATAGTGAGTATTGATTATCTGATTCAAGTACTTAAATGGTTCTTAAAGTTTTTCTGTACTTCAGAGATTCAAAACAAGTTTAATTTGTTGTCATTATATTCATTTTGATCATGTATCAATGATGATGCTAATAGTTGTTTGGAGTATGGCATAGAGAATGAACTACTTCTCATTTTTTTTTGTTTTTTTTTTTTGTTTGAAATCATCATATTTGAAAAATAGTATTTTTTTATGTTGGTGGTTTTTAAACAATCGTACCAAACATCAATTGGGTATTTATGTACAATATATTGGAATTGTCATGCAGCTACTGATGTGGATAAGTTTGCAGAATTTATCAAATTGGAGTTTTCCATGCACTTATGTATTTATATTTCATGAACATTGAATGTTATTGGTTGCATTACCCCTTCTCACCCTTTTATGATTTACTCAGTAGTGACGTCAAGCACCATAAAGGCTTTGCTTCATTTAGTTCTTTATTAACCTGAAAACTCAATAGGAAATTATTCAGTTTTTGCTACTTTTTCTTGACAAAAGGGGATGGAATTATGTAATTTCCCATTTTTATGAACAAAATTGCATTTGTTCTTGTGATAGATACAGGCACAATGTTGAATGGAGAAGATGTTAACAATGTCAAGCGCACTAGTAGGAAAAAGAGGAAGACCGAAAACCCTCAGGACTGGAGACCATGGGCAGAACTTCCTCAGGAACTTGTAGATATAATCTCCAAAAAACTGACAATACCAGACTATTTTAGGTTTGGTCGGGTGTGCCAAAATTGGTGGTCAATTTCCATGGCTTCCAAGCAGAACTTCATGTCATTACAAGCACCACTTGTGATTCACATATCAACAAGGGCCAAAAGGACTTGTCTTTTCTATGACATATCCAATGGGGCCAAATATGAAACCAAGCTGCCTTACTTTGGTTTGAAATTCTGTATTGGGTTGTCCTGTGGATACATAATTATGGAAGACCTCCACAGTACTATTTCCCTTGTAAATCCTGTTACAGGGTCCCAATATCTATTCCCCAAGATGGCCTCTCCTGGTAAAGCCATGTCTGCCGGTGACCGTTCTATCTTTGCTTCCACTGTACCAAACCAAGATTTTATTCTTGTGGTACTCTCTCAAATGCAAAAAGATGTGCATTTCCGTCGCTCCAAGGACAAGTACTGGCGCATTTACTCTTTTGCTGGCAAGCCGAAAATTTGGGATATACTTGTCTTTAAGGCCAGCATATATGTTATAACTAATGATGGTCGAATTGGCACATTGAACCTAAAATCTGCTCCTGAAGTGAACTTTTTGGAACTAAATTTCACTCCTCACTTTCTTGGCTATGTTAAACTTGTGGCTTCAAAAGAGCAGCTAATGGTGATTGATTTTGTTCCCTCGCCACAACTCAGAGTTTACACAATAGACTTTTCGCGGATGGAGTGGGTTCAGGTGACCAACTTGGGTGGCCATGCTTTGTTTTTGGGCAACATGATGTGTTCCAGGTTAAGCAACCCAGCACAGTGGGGAGGGCGAGAAAACTGTGTGTATTATCTCCCATTCAGATCCAAGACCTGTTATGTGTACTCCATAAGTGGTCAGTTCCTCGACAGAATCCATTTTGTCATAGAAGATAAAGCTGCTTCTTCCCGGATGAATTGTTGGTATTTCCCACATCTATCTTGCAGCATAGATTATGTGAGGGATGAAATTGGATCAGAAGATTAGTTTGGTGGTATGCAGAAACATATAGAACTTATGCTGCTTTTTTCTTTCTTCTCTCCTTTTTGTCGTGAACTTGGACAAGCTTAAGTTTGTAGCTGCTTTTGGTTTGGTTTGTTTTGTTTTGTCGTGTGAACTTTTACTTTAATATGTTTTGATGAACTAATTTTGCCTATGTTTTGTCTAAAGCATCTGTGTTATTTCTTTTATATTACTAAGTTGAAGCATCATAGTACCTATGTTTGTTTATTTTACTCAATATGGCTTGGGTGTTACATCCATTGCCAATATCTTTTAGGAGTAATGCTAGGTCTACAACGCAATCTCACAACCTTCAACGTGATAGTTTGTTATTGGTTAGCTCGCAAAAGAGGTCTCATTTGCTTTAATAGGTCACTCTTGTCTATTTGCGAGCTGACTAACGATGAGTTGTCACATCAGGGGTTGTGAGAGAAGATTGTTAGATTGGATTATGGATCTAGCATTACTATATCTTTTAGTGTAGTCCAATTATACAGACCAGAAATGTTATTGAGCTGGTCTCAACATCAATGGTCAACAAAATAAATGAAATTGTTTGGTTCACATAACTAATGCCATTCATTCATTTCTGCTGTTATTGTTATTAAGATATGAAGGTTTTTATGAGAAGTGATATTATGGTTATGAACAATTTTGAAGCACTAATCTTCTATTTGAAGCATTGTATTAGAAGAACAGCTGCTAGTAATTTTTCTTATGGCAATGATTAAGATTTAAGAGCATAGGCATTGCGAAGACTATCACAAATTGAGCATAAAATGTTAATGTCAGGACAAATTTCAAATCTACCATTGAGTTTCCTGATCCTGAATCACCAATTAGAATATAACTGTATACAAAATCATTCTTTGGATAAGTTAGATTATACTGGTAATTAACTAATTTAATTTAGTAATCCTGAAAAAAAGGGTAAACGGTCCTGGACTAGCATTAAATTAACATCGTAAAACTATATAAAATCAATTTAAAGATTGTCTAGGAGGTCTTATAGTAATAGGGAGGAAAGCAGTTGAAGGCAAAATGCCGCAATCAGAGACTAATTCATCAATGGATTAAAATGTAATCTGCCCCCAAGAGTGGCATGACACCCAGAATAATATCAAAATACATTTCTCCCAACTCAGGTACATTGACATTGACCATTTTTTCCCTTTTGGTTTCAGTGATTACATTTGCTAATCAAGAAACAAACTACAGAGTAGCGAAAATGTAATTGAGTCAACGAAATACAGAATAATATACATTGTGTATATGGAGTAGCTTATTTCTTCCTCAACTTGAAAAAGAGAAAAAGATTTCTTCATGTCACTCTCACTGCTAAATAATAATTGATCCACCAGTTTGACATGGCAGAAACGTAGATCATCTGATAAAGCAATCGTTTCTAATTCAAGTCCTCACAGAGGCGAAAAAGTAAGAGAAACTAGTTGATAACATCCAGGACCAGCTTGCGAGACTTGAGAACTGACCACCTCAAACGCCGGTAATATGCAGCTTGAAGCAATGCCAATGACAGTACAAATATCCATTTAAAACCCATCTGCATTAGAAGGCATATAATTTTGGGGATAATTCAAAAAAATTAAATAATGTTTATTGATAGTAACTTGATTTAAAAACATATGTACCAGCTTCCTCTCTTCCATTTCTGGTTCTGCTGCCCATGATAAAAACGACACAACATCTTTTCCCATCTGCACCGCATAGAAAATAAACAGTAGGATACTGAGTTTTGTACCGCAGAAACATCTATGCAATAAACTTATAGCTAGGAGTGTATTCTCACCCAAAGGCGTTAATAAAGAAAAACCAACCTGAGATTCTGTCGCAGGGGTACCATCTTCATACTCAATGGCATCATCAATAAGCATTTTCGGCATAGCAATTGCTCCTCCAGGGAAGTAAGGATTATAGTGCAATCCTTCCCGGATCTACAATAACAATTGAAAACAGACTGTGGTTAGGAATTAGGAAGTGAAAAAATCATTATCCTTCTTTATCTTATCAAAAAAAAAAAAAAAAAAAATGGTCATGACCTCAACTAGACAGAAAACATAACCTGAACAAATATGATCAGAGGGTAATGCTAAAAGTACAAAGAAATTTACAAAGATTTCTTGTACAAAGTGATGTGGCAGGAGATGAATGGAAGAGTGAATATGATGAGTTACTTTTATATTCACTCTTCTATTCATCTCCTGCCACATCATTTTGCACAAAAAATCTTTGTAAATTTTTTTGTACCTTTAGCATTATTGTACCAGATAATATTAAGTTTTAACACCGACAAAACTGCACTTCAATGTTAGTAAATAGTTAAAAGGATTTGGAAGCAGTGAAATTATGTGTAAAGAATTCGGAAGCAGACATTACTGAAACACCAGCAGGAGGATCATGGTAACCAGTTAAAAGAGCAAACACATAATTCTGACCATTGTGACGAGCCTGAGAGCAGAAAGAGTAAGATATTACCATGACAGATAATCACAGCTTTTAACATAAGTGCCGGAAGATAGTAATTACTTTGGTAATAAGACTTAAATCTGGAGGATATGCCCCTCCATTGGCAAACCTAGCAGCCTGTTCATTGGCATATGGCTGAGGAAAACGATCACTGAGTTTACCAGGACGGGTGAACATCTCACCCTCATCATTGGGCCCATCATCCACTTCAATCTCAGCTGCCATTGCCTTTGTCTCCTCTTCTGTATATGCAACACCTACCAAATCACGGTATGATATTAGTGACATAGAATGGCAGGATGCACACACTTGCTGGTAAACCTGGTGACCACGGCGGATCCTGAACATCCAAAATTGAGCACAAAGATTAAGATAAATTTTATTGTAAAATTGAATATTATTCAAAACATAGCATATTCTATTACAATTTCCATGTGAAAGGTTTTAAATAGTTAGCTGCCCCTCCAAATCTGCAAGCAAAAGGGTAGGGCTGGACAGCATGTGAGTTTAGATATTTGATTGGAATAAAAGTAACTTAATTGATGGTATAAATTTAAAATATACTGAATCAGGTCCCATAAAATTTGAATCACACCTTTCTTCAGTCAATTTAAATTGCAAGTTTAATGAGGAAAAGGACAATTAGACAAGAAGGGCATAAAACTCACGAAGCATGGTCGTAAGAACTGAGAATGCCGTTATGGGGCCAAGGATAGTTTGGGCATGCCAAGCCATGTTCAGCTTCATCAGCAGATGCTATTGTTGCAAAACTCAAAAACCCAGAAACACCAGCTCCAAGGAGCGCAAATGCCCTTAAAGACTTCACACCACCAGCAGATCCAACATCTTCATGAAATTTCTTGGCAGTATCAGATGATAAAGCCAAAAACCCCTGCAAAATCACATGCACAAAGTATATTAGGTAAAGAACCAAGGTTAATTAAAGATGCAATCAAATTATGCAATTCCACCCAGATTGTACCAGAAAAGCAAAATTTGGAGTTGGAAACAATCTCAAACGATTAATAATGATATCATTCATAAGTCAATCAGGAAACCTAGTATAAAACTGTACCACAGTGCATCTAAAAAGTGAAAACAAGGGGCAAACTATGCTTACAGTAGATTGAGACTGTAGTTTCCTCTTTAGAAGCCGGATGATAACTCCCCCCGCCATTTCAGTAAATAACTCAATCAATTAGTTCACTGTAACAAGCAAAAAGATGTTTGTAATTCATTAGATTAATACACTTCAACGAATGAGATTAAATCTAACATATGCCATTTCCAACATCCATTAATCTTATGGTGACCATTCCAAACTTGTGTTACTGTTTGTTGACCATTTCTCACCTTATGGTGAGCAACAATACCACGTAGCACCGTATTACAAGTACGATTATGGAAAATTCCCGCGATAACATATAATTCTCGTATAATATTTGCAAATCTCAAATTACCAAACTTTCAATAATCAGTTCAAATAAATATAACACAAAAGAGTTATAAATTCTAACCAAATTTAATGAATCCAATCATAAAAATAAATTGTTAGATAAAGACAAGTAAAACACAACAGGAAACATTGACATACACTTTGCAATCACATAATAGCAGTGTTTGTATTGACGAACACAGAATTCTAACGAAGAAAAGCTCGAAGAAGATAAGGAGAAAGAGAAAGATCTCACGAGATATACGAGAGATGAGGTCCAACTGCGAATCTGTGGTCAAAGGAGAGAGAGATGTGAGAAAATGAATTAACATTTGCTGCTATTGGGCTTTGCTTTAGGTCCGCACACCCAATTTCCATCTCGTCCAATAAAGATGAAAGTTTGCATTTGAACACACCCGTTGGCCCTTACTTATTTCACTGCACTCAACTTGTATAAAATAAAAGGTAAATTTCGGGATCTCATGAACTTCTGAAATTTCAATCCTTCCATGGTTTCGGACTTTGTTGGAATTTCTGATATTCATTACAATATCTTGTCAATTATATAATAATTGTAATTTGGGTTACATTGTTATTACTAATTAGGATTAGATAATTGAAATTATCACAATAATAGAAAACCCCAAGCACCGACCATGAAAGCCTGGCAACCTCTGGCTTACAATTACTCAAAATTCCAACCCAAATACTAGAGCTGCCCAAGGATTCTGTTTATGCCAAATTGCCCCTTGAACACGAAACATCCATAAAATTTATCACAAGCAAAGTTTTCTGATTCAAATGTATTACAAACTCAGATAATTTTTTTTTTTTTTTTTTTTTTTTTGGTATTCAAGGTGTTCGAGCCTACTTACTCACATCTCGATTATTTTTCTAGGACTCTGAAATTAACGGCTAAGTAAACATCTAGTGATTAGCCTGTGAGAATTTGAACCCAAAACCTAACAGATCATATCAATTGAACTTTGAACACCAAATTTTAATTACTTATTTATTATAAATGTAAAAAGTAAATTAAATTGTAATACCCAACCCAACACATGCAAAACTGCGGCAGTGAATAAAAACCATGGGCGCAGCAAGCGCCCATCTCTTTAGCTCTAAATTTCTGTTGACAAATTTTCTTCTTTTTCCTTCAAGCGCTCTATCTCCTTTTGTCCTTTATAATATATAAACTTCAAGAATCCATGTCTGGTTTAATCAACAACCTGCACGAAAATGGCGAGGTTTACCCACAACAACAAACACACATACACAAGGACACTTTTGCTTTTGTCTTGTCTTGCTCTCATAGGAGCTGCTCTCATTGCAGATTTCATGTTGGCATCTTCTTCTTGTTCTTCTGCATATTTATCAATCGCATCCAAATGGGCTAGGCAGAAATCGGGGTTCATAGTTGTGCCAAACCTTAATGCTAGCAAAGTTGGCCAGGTTCACGTTTTCTTCCTCTTACAGTCCTGCATTTGTCATAAATCTAGTACAAACTGTTGAATGCAGAATTTTATGTCATTTTCTTTCTTTTGCTTTTGCCTCGGATTTGTGGACTGGGATTTGTGATTTTCTTTTAAAGATTATTGTGGGATTGCTACATTCTAGTTTTTGATGCTGAACATTTTCTCATCATCCAAGCGGATGTCTTTTTCTTAATCAATTTGCTTCTACACCTACATAGGATGTTAACTTGTATTAATAATTGAATGAATTTTGATAGTGGTGAATTGATCATCTGTTTCTTATCTGTAGAAAGAATCGATGGCTGTGAAAGATAAAGCAGAGAGGATTCCAGAAAGATCACTATCAGCAACTTTTGCTGATTTACCAGCACCAGAATTAGAATGGGAGCAAATGCCATCAGCGCCTGTGCCACGTCTTGATGGAGCAGCAATTCAGATTAAGAATCTTTTTTATGTCTTTGCAGGATATGGAACCCTTGACTATGTGAGCATTTATTCCCAGCTCCCATTTTTTCACATTAGAATCAATATTTGAGTCTATAGAAATCATTTTGCTTGGGGCTTTATTGACCATGTATAATCGTTTTATTGTGGGCTTAGATAAGATTTCACTTCAAGGGACCTTTTCAATTAGAGGACTGAATGATGTTTCTATGATTTCAAAAATAATGGTTTTAATTTTTTTCTGTTTATGCCTATGTTTTTGTCTTTTAGGTGCATTCTCATGTAGACGTATACAATTTCTCAGATAATAAATGGGTAGACAGATTTGATATGCCAAAAGAGATGGCACATTCGCATTTAGGAGTGGTAAGCGATGGGAGATACATATACGTAGTCTCAGGGCAATATGGCCCTCAATGCAGAGGCCCTACAGCTCGTACATTTGTTCTTGACACTAAGATGAGGAAATGGCGCAGCATGCCTCCATTACCAGCTCCCAGGTATGTGACTTGATAGGATAAATGTAAATCATGTTTCAGTTCTGTGGAAACACAATTTCGAATCATTCTTCTTCTGGAAGATACTTGGATTTTGACCCTTGATCTAAATTAAATTCTCATATGCCCACCATCAGCTCTGTTTAATGACTACTAAGTTGAAATCTGCATTGTTTGTTTTGCTTAGCAATAGCTAAAAGAAATGTTTATCTACCTGCTTTTGTATTGTGTCTACTTGCAGATGTTGATTGGTCCCCTCCCGCTAAAATATGCAACTCTTTAAGGAACATCTTTCCCTGGACTTGAATATCCTGAAATAATAGATTTTTAGGTTGACACAAGACTTAAAATATTTACTGTAACTGCATTGAAATCCAAATAACCATTTATTCAAGTTTGGATGTAATTGAGATCAGTGAACGAGTATTTGTTCCATCATTAGCTGAATTTTAGCTGAGAGATGAAATATTGTAACATGAGAATTTTCAGGTATTCTCCTGCTACTCAATTATGGAGAGGCCGGCTTCATGTGATGGGTGGCAGCAAAGAGAATCGCCACACGCCCGGATTGGAACACTGGAGTATTGCAGTGAAGGATGGCAAAGCATTGGAGAAAGAGTGGCGCACAGAAATTTCTATTCCTCGTGGTGGACCTCATCGGTGTGCGGGCTTCCCTAGTTTATATTTTATCGTTCATTTTCTTGTATTGAGATTAAAATTTTTTTGTGATTCAAGTCATGCGAAGAGAATTTATTTTTTGCAAACTCAAACAATCTGATCAAGAAAGTAAATATTTTCACAGGGCTTGCATTGTGATTAAAGATCGGCTTTTTGTTATTGGTGGTCAAGAGGGTGATTTTATGGCCAAACCTGGATCACCAATTTTCAAATGTTCACGCCGGCATGAGGTATGAGAAAAACTATATGTAATCATGTTTCTAATACAGTGTACTTGCATCTATAATATTGTTTGACATTCTACTATACGTGAAATTTTGCACATCATTTATGTCTCCTTAGTTTATATGGAATTAATTTCTTACTGTATTTCAGGTAGTTTATGCTGATGTTTATATGTTGGATGAGGAGATGAAGTGGAAAACATTACCTCCAATGCCGAAACCCAATTCTCATATAGAGTGTGCTTGGGTAATCGTCAATAATTCGATCATCATAACAGGAGGTACAACAGAAAAGCACCCAGTGACCAAAAGGATGATTTTGGTTGGGGAGGTGTTCCAATTCCATTTAGACTCACTGGTAATCCTATTCTCTTGTTACTAAAGCCTCATAAAGTATATATATTTTTTTTTCATTGTAAGATTCTATGATACAATTCCTTGCTTCATTGCATCTCTATATTTTTGTTAATTACAGACATGGTCCGTGATTGGAAAGCTTCCGTACCGAGTAAAAACCACCTTGACTGGTTTTTGGGATGGATGGTTGTATTTCACTTCTGGACAGCGGGATAGAGGACCTGATAATCCACAACCAAGGAAGGTCATTGGAGAAATGTGGAGAACAAAGTTACATTTATGAATTTTGAATTTTGATACATACGCCACCATAGCTACTGTAAAATTTTGATAGTTTCCCATTGTTGTTATATAATTTTTCAATTAGATTTGATTTTCAGAAAGTTTTCATCTTTCACTTTTTGTTTTATCTTAACTAGGTAACTGTTAAACAGCAAATTTTTTTAACCTCTTGTTACATGTATCTATCATTATGAACAATGAAAATGGTTTTATACCCCTGTTCTTCTAATTCAAAAATGTTAGTAATCTTGTCTGAGTAGTAGAAATAGGCCTAGGGGTGTGCAAAACAACAGGTCAAAACCAAAACTAACAAGTACCCGGGGTTTTAGCTCCAGCTCTAAAAATCAAGAACCGACCGTTTCTTGTTTCACCCCTACAAGAACCAAAATCGAAACTGAGATCTGGGTACCCAGAAAGGAACAAAGACTAAATTGTAACTTTTGTAAACCGTTAGGGTGCATTTGTAATTTTTAGAGGATTTATTTGTCATTTTTTTAAAAGTAGGGGGTAATTAAATTTAACCTGGATACCCGGAACCAGAATCGAAACCGGAATCTATGTTTCAGGTTCTGATTCCTGACTTCGAGGGTAGGTTCCAAATCCAAGGAACCGGCCGGTTCCATTTCCTATGAATTTAGGTGGATACTCAAATCCACCCACCCCTAGAAATAGCAACAGTTATCATATGAACTCCTGGAAAAAGAAGAGCTATACTAAAGATTTTAATAATATGTTCCAAATGCAAGATCCCACAACCTCCATACAAATTTAAGAAATAAATGGGATTGATTCAAGTAAAACGACCAAATATCACATGTAAACAATATCTTTTCTATATTAAAGAATTACAAGCATTACAAAAGAGCTCATAAACAATGGTCGTCCAGAACTGTATTTACAAAGAATGGCCAAATCATCAATGCATATATTGAGAATGCTGATCTATTATTCCTTCCATTACAATTTTGATCCTATGTGCACTTTTAATCGACCAAGATAAACAAAACGGAGTTACACAGCCCAATCTTCTTGAACGACAAGCCAATTATCTCACTTTAACTCCTATTAGAGCCCATGACAAACTACCAGCAGTCCTTGGTTGCCCTACACAGTACCCAACTTCAATTCAACTGCAAGGCGTAAAGCAAAATGATCACTCGACAAAGCATTAGTTTGTTTATGGTCAACTGCATTTCATTAAACCAAGAAAATGACTTCCAGACAGACTAATGTTTCCAAACTGATTGAAGTTTGAATCCAGGCCTTTAGAATGTGCAATGCACAGCCTGTTGTCATTTCTCGAGCATTTTCAAACAGATTATGGGAGTTTTATTCAGATTGTTTCTTTCTTTCTTTCTTTTCTTTTCTTTGTTGCTTATTTTTTCTGATATTTTTCCATTCAAAATTGTTATTTCTTTTGCATTTAAAATTTTCTTTGCTAAATTGAAAAATAATTCAATTGAGGTGTTCCAACCTGCACACAAACTACTGGTTATCTGTTACCTTGATTTATAATGCACAGAGGATTCATAAAAATATCATTTATCACAGTGATAGTAGGTTCGAATCCACTGACCTGTCTCATACTCTCCAAATAGAAAGTGATATGCCCAAGTACTGCAAAGAAGTTCCATAATTTTGCAAGACCACTAAAATATTGGTAATTTCTGCAGAGACTTACCCAAATTATAACCCTGACAACCAAGTATAGAGGCAAAATTCATGAAACAGTGTGTAACTGTGCATGCCATGGATGTGTGGGAGAGAGTAAGAGAGAGATGCCTTTCACTTCAACAAAGGAGCATAAGGAGCTGGGCATGGTGAAACAGTGTGATCTGGTAACTGGTTTATTAAATCAGCTGTCGCCTGCAGGCATGCATGTAGCATTTTCTTTTCCAACCTCACAAGCTGTGTAGCAACTCGCTTCTTAGGTTTCAAGTTAGAATCTGCCAACTAATATGATAAATAAGTTTCAGTTAGAACCCAATGAGCAATAAATAAGGAAATAATAATCAACAGATACAGTGGAGCAAACATTACCAAAGACTCATCTTCACTCAAGGTAGTAGGGTAGCCAGCCAGTCTTCTAGTGAAATAATCAGCAAGCTGGTCTAACACTGCTCGTTCCATACAAGAACTCACCTATAAGATCGAATAAAATCCCAACAGGCAAAAAATTATATTCTCCATTTAAAAAGAGAAATTTTGCATTAAGCACAAGTGGTTTTGCAAAAATAATAACATCATTGTGAAGAACTATAAAGACAAAGACAGTCCAATAACCAGCCAATTTTTAACTATAAAGACAAGGCACAGCCAAATCAGTCAGAATGTATCAGATTCTTGCCTCAAGTAATTTACACAGGAAGAAAATGAATGAGGAGCAAGATGTAGAAAGGCTCAAAACTTTTATACTTGAGCCATGGATACCAGGCTTCACGCATGAAGCATTAAAGTCTAATTCTGACTATTTACCCCAAAAAGCATTGATTACTACATCGAGTACACTTGATATCCTTCCAAATTTTAGTAAATTTTCAGAATGCTTTAAACTTAATTAGGTGAGTGCAAGCTTCAGAGAGATGAACTTACAGGGCACACAGGACCTAGAGAAGAAATGACAGATTGCATCTCAGATGTATCTGAAACATAGCCCAATCGTAAATAAGGAAGCATATCTGCAACAGCTTCCTTTTCCCGCCCTGCATACACCTACAGAAGAATTTCATTCGAGATTACCCACAAGAAAATAAAACAGTAACCTTTCAATATAGCAGAAGAGATTTAGTCCATACATGAAAAACCTGCACTGATAGTTTGCCATTTCTTTGGGCAACCATTCTCTTGTCCTGATATTGAGGATCCTCAGTGTTCAAAGCTGCCTGGAATATGTGATACGTAAAGCATGTCAACATGATTGCCTTGGAAAAAGTAAAACTGCAAGTATGAGACAGTTAAGATAGAGACTTTACCTCTACCACTAAACGGTCATAAGAATTATCTTCATCAACAAAACCATAGTTGATAAGCAACTTTGAATTAGGCTGTGGGCCACACCTACCAAATGAGAAACAAACTTTATACTTCATAACAAAATGTACGAATGAGGAGGCAAGTCTTCTTTACCAAGAAAGGACTAACTGAGCAGCTTCAGAATTGTGGCCAATAAAGCATATATCATACCAGACAACAATGGATTCCCCAGCCTTGTATGGACGATCAACCACCAGTTGAACAGCACCATCAGCAGCAGTTAACATTGCCTTGCAGTTGCTACTATAAGCTAATAGTGGAGGTCCAAGCGGTACTAAAGCAAATCTCCGAGCCAAACTGACTTTCTGAGTTAAGAAGGGCCTAAATTAGTCATTTGAAGACCATTTTTAAGAAGACAACATGAAAAAAAAAATAAGGTTTTCTTTCCAGTGGTGGTGGTTGGACACCGGAGAACGTTTAATAGTGCCGGAGAATCAAGAAACTGAGAGATGCAACAAATTCAAGAATATAAACAGGTTTGATGACCCTTACAGCTTTTTTATTTATATTTTTTTTAAGTGGACAGTCCAGAACCAAATAACAATGAAGCCACAGTAGTATTACTCCCATAGTCCTTTTTTCTTTCACTAACAAAAAACACCATATAAATAACACACCACCAATAACATAAACTTCATGGATTGCGCATCTGACATTGATTGACACCAAAAACTGTTAAGAACAGAATATAACTTGTATGCTGAGCTACTGATAAGATCAGGTTTTAGAACATTAGAGGAAAAAAATCTTCCATCAATATACATGATGCTTTGTTCTAGGAGAACTGACTCCTTAAAAACAACTAGAATGCAAACTCTGGGCCTTGAACATTTGGTTACAACATATTAACAATAGTTAAGGCAAACAAAATCCTCTACCATCTTATACCATCTTAACACATGAAACATAAAGTCAAGCACATAGATCACTGTCTAACAATCATTCATGTCTCCAAGTGTTTTAGAAGAAGGAAAATGTGTAAGAGGTAAACAAACAACTCACCTGCAAATGCACCACGCAAGACTGGACAGCAACAAAAGCTTGTTTGAAAATCTCAAATGAAAATGCCTCAGTGGGTATGTCATACGGATATTGCTGCAAATTATATATAGTATAATCAACAGATGTCACAATATGAGCACCACCATTAAATATTACAGATAAGATTTTAAGTTAACAAAACAAAGACAATTAAATGAAAGAGCTAAACCTGAAATAGAGACCCAGCCATAAACCAGACAGTGTCAAGCTCATTATACTCTCTTTTGATTCCATCGGCCCTTTCAAGAACTTCAGCCTAAGTCATTGACAGCAGAATGTAGTCTTAAAACCTTTTAAACCATCCAACAATGGCAGACAGACTTTAGATATGTGACGCAAGCATGTACCAAATTTTTTCCATTATTCATCTTCCAGTGGCTAAAAGGATGACCAACCAAGTACCTTAGTGGGGCTACCTGTCAGGTAAGCCAATTCAGCTTCTGACCATAAAAGTGGGGATTCCACAGCTAATTGGCCTCTCCCTCGTTGTCGATCAAGCTCTCTGATATATGGATACCAGAATGACTTTTTCCCTTGCTTCTTCTCATACATTAGATACAGAGCTAAGCATGCCAGCTCCGATAACTTATTAGTAGTCAATAGCTCCGCTGCATGAAAACCAAGCCGAAAAATTACACTCTTCAATCAAGTCTTACTATTCCCATCAATTTGAAGCTTATGAAGATTGTCATCATCCTAGCTTTACAGCCATGTCTGGCAAATTAGTTCTAACATTGGTACGCCCAATATTACTGTAATATACAAAATCTGAACTTGCATTCTCCCAACTAATCAGTAAGCTGTGTCCTTCTCTCACTACAACTTTTCAGTTCATCTAAAGCAAATGCATTGCATTTAGCACCAAGAAATCATTTAATGACAACTAGCATTGCATATAAAAAAAAAAAAAAAAAAAAAAATATATATATATAGATGTTGTAGTATTGTGCCAATATTAACGTAAACAACAAACCTTACCAATGGTCTCATTCCCCAACACTCTCTCAAGCGTCACCACCAACGAATTGGGCACGGAGAACGCCACGTCACCGGCCTACTTCAAGAAAAAAAAAGAATCACAGAACTGGAACTCAAATAACCGAAACCTATAAAAACAAAAATTCAACAGAATCAGACCTGAAGATCTTCGCTGGCGGCAACATAATGTATAGGCCTGTGTTTGTCATCATGCGAAGGCTTTTCTTTAAGAACAACTTTACAAGGAGGCAATCCATTCTTGTGCATCCAAGATTTCAAGTCACCAGACACCTCGTCTTTCTTGCTGACAACTTCGCTCGAGCCGGCCACCAAAGTATCGGAGCTAGAAACACGAAAGGAAGAGGAGTTTCTCCGGCGAATCAAGCGAAAGGAAGAGGCGAAATTAGGGTTCTTGGGGAGGGAGAGTGAGACAGTGGTGGATGGAATTGAGAGAGGATGAGGTGTTGACCGAATGGGAGGTGAAACATATCTATTGCATAAATAAGACGAAGAAGAAGAATAAAGTTCCATGAGAAGAGAAAGAATTGAGAATTAGGGTTAAGATTAGTGAAGATTGAAGAAAAATGGATATTTTGATTTGGTTGAATTTTGGGTTGGTTTATATATCTGGAAGGGGATAGGACATATTGGATTGATGGGGAAATGGTATTTGAGGTTGTGTAATTGGATTGGAGGGAAACAAAAATCTTTTGTCAACAAGTCCAGGGATTGTATGGACATTCGTCCGGTGGTCTTTACTCTTTAGAATTTTTTATCAATTTTGAGCATGAAAAATGATATCATGAAAAACTATTTTAAGTTGAGTTGAGTTAGATTAAATTGAATAGGAGAAGATTTTGAGAATGTGTTTAATCTAATATATGAAAATTATATCAGAATTTGATAAATATTGAAAAATTGTTTGGTAAAAACATTTTCTGAAAATATTTAAATTATTTTTTAATATTTAATATTTGTTAATTTAGCTAAACACCCCTCACAATAAAAGTTTAAAAAATAACAAAAATACCGTCACCCACCCAAGCCACTACCATAGGACGACAGCCAACAGTTGTCAAAACAGCGCATGATCGACTGAATCTAGTTGATTGTGCACCGATCTGGCCTTTTTTGGCCAAATCTACGGCCATAATCTAGTTATCGTTAACGGCCAAAATATGGCTGTCAATGATGGCCAGAATCTGGTCGTCATTAATGTTGGATCTAGCCGAAAATAGTCAGATTGGGGCGGACGATCGTTATCAGTTTTTGGCAGGCGGTGGTGGCTTTGAGTGGATTAATTTTTAGATTAGGAGGAGTGAAAAATAATTGTTTTTAGTTGAATAGAGTTAGAAAAATGTTTTGAGTTGAATATAATAGGATAATGCAAAACAAGTCTCCCTCTTTTTATTTTCAATAAAAAAAAAAAAAAAATATTGTTTGATACGGATTCATTTTTAGAACAATTATCTCAATAAGTAAACAAACATATATTTTGTTTTTTAATTCAAATAGAATAACAGAAAAATGATTCAAAAAGTTAAACAAAGAGGAGTAATATTAATTTTCTGTAATTCGGGATAATGAAGATGAGAAAATAAATGAGATTAAATGATTCATGGTAGGTTGAGGTAAAAAGCATACCTATTTGATTGACACGTAGGACACTTTTTTTTTTTTTTTTTTTAGCTCTAAAATTGGTTTATTTGGAGCTCTAGAGTTGCTTTCTCTTTCCACATTGGATGTGTGGTTTAACAAGATATTTTTAACTTTAAGATTCATGAATATTCATGCTGGTTGTTCGCCATGAATACCCATGTGAGTTGTTTGCCATGTGACATATTTTGGAAGCTCTAGAATTGCTCAATTTTGACACATTGGATTAACAATCCAATCAAATTATTCTATTTTGACACGTTGGATTGGTATTTATTAATACATCTCGCCATATGGCACATTTTAGAAGCTCTAGAATTGCTCAATTTTGACACATTGGATTGACAAGCCAATCAAATTGCTCTATCTTGACACGTTGGATCGGTATTTATTGATGCATCTATAATTATTAATTAATTAAAAAATGAGATTTGTATTAATATTTAATGATAATAATAATAATAATAATACAGGTGCATTGCATTGGCATTCCAAAGATATGCATTAATAACAAATATACAGGTGTATTGGATTGCTATTACTAATTGTGGTTTAATGACATTTGTCCAGGATTGCTATCTATAATTATGTAGGTGCATTGTATTGACATCAGAAAACTTTCTTCGTATTGAAATCGTATTTAATTGCGTTGGTGAAAGGTCTAAATAAGGGGTTATAAAAGGGGCTCATGTTCAGTTGTGTATCATCTCAATTTGTTAGTTGGCGTCAATAATATGTCTGGTCTTTTGTTAATTGTTTATATGTTATTTTAGTTTGTAAAAATAATATGTTTGTTCTTCATGTGCATCTTGATTCGATGGTTTTTTATTTATGTATGTTTTTGTTGTTGATTACAGGTTGGAGATTCATGAATTGGCATGAAATAAAGGTAGGACGTCGAATTGATACTGTCAGATGAGTTGTTATTTTGATTTGTTCCTTTGAACTGAAAGTATATCTTCTAGGTATTTTAATGCGAAATTGTAAGTATGTCTCCTAACTATTTTAATGTTTCTTGTTCGATTGAATGATTGTTTTTGTTTGGCCAATTTATTTGAATGATTGTTTTTGTTTGGCCAATTTATTTGAATGATTGATTGTGTTATTCCTTCTGAACAGTAAGTGTGTTCCTTGATAGTTTTAACATGAATATTAATTAACTTTTGTTGTCTCTGTTTTTTAGGTACCAGTTTTTATACAAATGAATAATTGTTCCTTAACAATGTTAACATGAAGATCGATTACATTTTGTTATGTTTCTTTTCAAGGAAATAAGGATTTGTGTTTATTATTTTTTTGGTAGAGTCATTGATTCAATGCGTCTCTTTTGCCGATCAATTGGTATAAAATGTGAATTCGTTGATTTTGTTGATTTCATTTTCAGGTTGCAAGGAAAAAAGTTGACGTGTTTATACAATGTCCAGCATGTTTCGTACCAAGTTGTGTTTATTAAGTCTTCGGTAAGTTCATTGATTTGGTATGTTTGTGGTTGCAATCGATTAGTGTGAATTATATGCTCACTGATGTTTGATGATTTTATTTCAGCTTACAATTTTGGCCTAACAATGAGTATTTGTTGTTGGTATGTTCATGTGATGGGCAATTAGTTTTTCCTTGTATTGTTGACGCTGAGTAACATTAAATGTTCATGGTTTGTACTTTGTCTAAAGATTACGCATTGTTTTTTTGGCCATGCTATCTGTTTGTTGATGAGTGCTTGGAAGCAATGTTTTGAAACCCGGACCAGAAGGTGACTCAGTGAAGTGACCGATTTCTGGTTTGGGCGGTCCAACCTGTCTGACCGACGGGTCAAACCAGTGATGTCATCAAATATATATATATATATTTTTTTTCCTCACATGTCATTTCATCTTCTCTCTCTCTTCTTTTCTCCTTTATTTTTTTTTTCCTCCCTCTTTTTTTCCGTCATCTCTTTCTTCTTTATACTTCTCACATGTCAGTACGTCACATCATCTCTCTTTCTTCTTCTCTACTTCATCAATTTTTTTTCCCCTCTCTTTCTCACGTCTTTCTATTTCTTCTTCACTTCTTTCGTATTCTCTCTTTTCTCACCTCCTCTTCTTTTTCTTCTTCTTCATTTTTTTTTCTCTCTTTCTCTCCATTCTCTTCTCTTTCTTCTTTTGCTTCTGCAGATCTTCTCCTTTATCTTTCTTTTCTTTCACTTTCTAATCTCGAATCTAACTAAAGATGAATAAAGGTGGAAGAGAAGATGAATGAAGTTGGATTGGAAGTCGGAGAAAGACAAAGAAACAAATAAAAGATTAAAGAAATGAAGGTTGAAGCAAAAAAGGCATGGATTCTGCCTTTTAAAACAATCACATATGTTGGATCGGATTTTCATCTGATCTGGTTGAACTAGCGGTCTAACACTATTCTAACGGTCTAATAACAGTCGAAAGCTGTTTAAATGAAAATACTGGTTTTTAACACTTAATAAACTGGAATCATTGACGAAACCCGGTTGGACCGTCCGATCTGGTCCGAGTTTCAGAACATTGCTTGGAAGTGCACTCATACTTAGTGATTTTAAGGGTATTTTGTGAGGGAATTAGGTTTAATTGGTTGATTTTACTTAATTTCTGTATCTCTTTTGTTTTCTAGAATCACGAGTATGTTTTGTGAATTTTCAGGTGTTTAGGTGCTGAAAATGAGGATTTCAAGCATGGACATTGAAGATGAAAGAATTATATAAGCGTGTAGGAACAAACGGTTCGAGAATCGAAGCTCAAACGAAGAAGTTATGGATTTTTGAAGATTGTTCACCGCAACAGAACTATTCCCATGCCGCAGCGGAACTATTCTCATGACACAACATAAAAAAGTTGTAAAATGGATAGAAACTTCATGCCGCGGCGCCACAAAATCATGCTGCAGTGCAATGCGGAAAATTTATGTTCATAAATTTTTCTGCCAGAACATGCTGCATGAAAATGATCATAACTTGAGCTACACAACTCCGATTGACCTAGTTCTACTAGCGTTTAAAGCTAAGAGACATATCTACAACTTTTATGTTTTGATCATGGCCCAGTTCGACATGGAATATGATTAAAAATGGAGACGAAAGTTACATTAGTGCTGGGAGATGTGCAGATTTGTTATTATGCGTTTTTAATTTAAGTATAACTTTTTACCATAATACCCTCATGATTTTAATATTATAAATAGATGTCCTTAGCAATATTTTAGGGGGCTAGGGTTTATGATATCAAATATAATTAGGAAGAGGCAAGGAGAGGAGATCTTACCTAGGGTTTCATCATCTTCTTCTTGTACTTCATGGTTTTCAAGATTTTGAGGTTTGATTTCCTTATGCTCATGTGTAACTAAATACTTTTGTAGGGATCCAATGTAGCATAATAAGAATGTTTTATGTCTTTATTAATTCTATTTGTCTTATCAATCCATTGCAATTCTAGTTTTATTCATTATCCTTTATTCAATCTTTAATTGATGTTTTTGCTTGATCACCTTTAATGTTAATTAATTGATTGTGTGAGACAAGGTTAGGCTACACACCCTAGCTAATCTTGAATAGCTTGCGTGAATGAATGTTTAGTATTTTGTGCATACGCTCTAATAGAATGCTCTAATTGGTCATGATTTCTTGAATGATTAGTATTTGTGTATACGCACCAACAGATGCGCCTTTATTCATGATTTCGAGTGTTCTTGTGTTTAATGGGTTTTTAATCATTAGGCTAAACTATACGCCCTCACTAGTCTCGTGTTAAAGATACTAGGTTAATCCCGAACATCTTATGGTAATACCTTAATTATGTGAGTGCGAACCCTAGAAATTGGATTGTGATAACAATAGTTTGATAGTTGGCCTAAAACTAGATTATTATGGTGAAATTGGATACCTAGGTTATAGTTCATTGCTTCTTAAATTAGTTTTTATTGGTGTTATTTTGGCTTAGTCAGTAGTAGTTAATTTTTCGTTTCTTTTTACACTTAGTTTTAATCCTAGTTAGTAAATACGGGTACGGTAAAAAAACGGTACGGGAATTTTATGGGTATAATTCGGCAAACGGTGAAAAATACGTTTATAAAAATTCGGCCATAAAATTCGGATACGGGAAAAATACGGTACGAGTATATATGGGTTTAATATGGTGCATTGTCAATAATACGTTTTGAAAAAAACGACAATATCAATCTTAGTTTTAACACTTTTATGGATTACCTGATTAAAATACTATATCAGTTGCTTCCATTTCTATATAAGTGTTTGTTTTAAAAAGTAAACCTTTAGTTTTAATATTAAATTATAAACTTTTAATTATATATTTAAGTCAATACTGCAGAGAGCCATAAATGAAAAACTATCATTTATTTATTTACATTATTTTTTATTGATCTAAAGTTCTAATTTTGTATTAGAACTTTAGAAGGAGACATCACGAATTTATATAGTATTTTTAGATATAAGGTATCCAAATCTAACATCATCAATCCTGAAACAAAAGATTTGAAGTTGTGGGGTATGTCGAATTTGTTTTTAATATATTAATTAATCAATTAAAATGAATGATAATAACAAATGTAAGAAAGATTTTAAAAGAAGCAGAAAAAGTTTGTCGTTGTGAACTCTCCGTTAAGATCTCTCCACGTAGGCACATGGAACCGACCCCACCATCCAATTTTGCGATTCTGAAACTTTGCCAGTTTGCCCGTCGTTTTGCCTTTTGCCTCTAGCCTTTGCTGCTGTTTTGTATTTCCCCCAAAATCAAAACCCACCGCCCACCATTTCCTTGATGCAAACACATCTAAAATCTAAATCTCAATCTCATTCTCTTCGTTCCTGGAGTTGTGGTGGATGGCAAGAACTAACAAGTACACCTCCATCAACTTCAAAGTTCAATCATGTGCTCGAAAAAAATCTCTCTCCCGCCAGGCCGCCTCCTCCGCTACCAACTCACCTAGACAATCTTCCTCTTCCTCTTCTTATTCTTCGATCACTTCTTCAAATACTAGTAACAAAGCTATGTTACCTTCCTCCAAAAGCCATGGCCGCATGCTTGTTCACGAATAACAAAGCTCAGGTTTTTTTTTAATAATTCGTGAATTATACGGATATTTATATTATACGTGTATAATTCGGCAGATTTTACAAAATATATATACGTGCGTTTTATACGCGAATTATACGGTTGTCAGTACAATTCGCGTATAATACGCGTTTTTACTAACTAGGGTTTTAATCACTAGTTCTTTAATTTGATTGAATTTATTTGTTTTAATTAAGACATAGTTATTAGGATTACTTGATAACTTACAAATCTTTGTGGGATCGACCCTTGCTTTTGCACATTATACTGCGATGGGGATTCGTGCACTTGCGAGGAAGTAGAATTGTTCATCATTTGTTCCGGCTCATATGTAAGCATTTGTTTTGGGACTGAGCTACATGGAACATTTATGGATTGGTTTATGTTAACAAGACTCGTGTGAGTGTTGTTTTTGCTAACTCTGTTCTCAGGTGACACAATCGATCCTCAACTATCCTTGAATTGTGATGCTCGGTGCATTGTTGTCATAGGGTGGCAAAATTCGATAGTAGTTGAGGTTCGATTTTGTGATTTATGAATGGAATGTTATTGTATCGGGTTTGGTCATTGTGGACGTCAACATTTCGTGTTGTCGAAGTGTCATGGTTGGTATCGCAGCATGATGGTGATGGTGATTCAGAGATTTGGTTTTTCCAGGTTCGGTGTTGTTAGATTGTGATAGTTTTTATTGTGCAAGTTACCTTGCCTGCATGAACATTTGCGGTTTGGCATTTGATGACGTAAAGATTTGTTGGTTGTAGTTAGTATACAGTGATTTTGATGTATTCAACTGTATGTGTCCAAATCATCTATGTATTTATTAATACTGAGGCAATATATCAAAGGTGTGTATTTGGATCGTGATATCTTATGCAATGAATTAAACAAACAAATTGCCAAGCAAATCATGTCGCCCAATTATGGATGACAATTTTTTACTCTTTTGTCAGTATGTGAGCATTGCATTGGCATCCGAAAGGTCTAACCATCATGACGTTCTTACACTATTTTCTAAGTTGTAGGTTTAACAAAATATTTACTATCCTTTCTTTTGGACTTGAGCCGATGAAATATTCCTAAAGTGACCAATATAGGAGTAGATGGGATTGTGTCAAGGTATCCAAATTCCTATCAAATCCATGGTTTGGCAGTGTTTGTAGAAAAGTTATAACAATTTATAAATGCTATCAATCATATCCTAATAATGGTTCGGCAATGGATTGTAGACCTCAATGATACCTTATGGATAAATTGTGGATTGGTATCTACTTTATTATCATTCTATAGCCAAATTGATGGTTTGATGGTGAAGTTATCAATCGTAGCAAACTTTGAAGAATCATAATTATGAACAATGGTTAGGCAACGGATTTCACACTATTTATTAGACAGTTTTTTAAAGATGTCGAACTACAATATCAATAAAAAAATTAAGTGGCTTAACATCTTTCTAAGTTGGTATCAGGCAAGCTACCTAATATTTGGTCTGACTATAAAAAATAAGCTAGGGCTGACTAATATAGGAACAGATAGAATTGTTTATCTTTCTGATATGTCAAGCTATCCAAATTTTGGCCATAGATCATGAATAAGTATTCAAATTTATGGTTTAGCAGTGTTAATAGAAAAGTTATAAAAAGTTATAAACGCAATTAATTACATCCTCGGTATTTGCCCTATATATATAAAGTTGACTACCCATGCGGTTGTTCGCCCTGTGGCACATTTTGGAAGCTCTAGAATTGTTGCATTTTGACACATTGGATTGACAAGCCAATCAAATTGCTCTATCTTGACACGTTGGACTGATATTTACTACTCCATCTATGATTATTAATTAGTTAAAAAAATTGGATATGTATTAATAATTAATAATAATAATAATACAGATTCATTGCATTGGCATTCCAAAGATGTGCATTAATAGGCTGAATACCCATGCGGGTTGTTCGCCATGTGGCACATTTTGGAAGCTCTAGAATTGCTCCATTTTGACACATTGGATTGACAAGCCAATCAAATTGCTTTATCTTGACACGTTGGATTGGTATTTATTGCTCCATCTATAATTATTAATTAGTTAAAAAATTGGGATCTGTATTAATATTTAATAATAATAATACAGGTGCATTGCATTGGCATTCCAAAGATGTGCATTAATAACAAGTATACAGGTGTCTTGGATTGCTATTACTAATTGTGGTTTAATGACATTTGTCTAGGATTATTATCTATAATTATATAGGTGCATTGTATTGACATTGGAAAACTTTCTTCGTATTGAATTCGTATTTAGTTGTGTTGGTATTCGGAAGGTCTAAATAAAGGGGAATAAAAGGGGCACATGTTCAGTTATGTATCATCGCAATTTGTTAGTACAATTTTTTAAAGATGTCGAACTATAATATCAATACAAAATGAAGTGGCTTAATTTCTCTTTGAGTTTATATAAGCAAATCTGTCGAACTATAATATTAATAAAAAAATTGAAGCGGTCAATGTCTCTCTCGATTGAAAATTTCAGTATCAATCTATAAATGATAAAGGTTATGATTTCCATTGTAATAAACCATTTGTTGTGCTGTAATTGTACTGTTATATGATACTTTCAATGTGATATTACTATTAATGGTCAGGATGATAGAATTTTGGTTTAATTGTGGGTTAATGCACTTCCTTTTTTATTGATGTGTTCAGTATTATGATGATGTTTGGTATTCTGATGTTTAATGTTGTTCTTAATGTAGTGTTTTTGTTAAAGTGTTGATGAAATAAATGGAACTGCTTATGTCACATAATAATAAAAGTTTGTATCAAATGCAATTTAAATAAGAATTACACTTGTCCACATAAAAAAATTATAAAAATACAAAAATTCAAGTATTTGTCTGAATGTGAACAATATAGGGATAGATGGAATTGTGTCAAGGTATTCAAATTCTGATCAAATTCATGGTTTACCAGTGTTTCCTATAAAAAGTTATAACAAATTATAAACGCAACCAATCATATTGTGACAATGGTTCGCCAATTGAATGTAGACCTCAATGATACCTTATGGATAAATTGTGGATCGTATATTGACTACAACCAATTCGATTTGATATATCAATTGTTTGATGATGTAAAGATTTGGATAGCTTGAACAATCATAGTTATGGACAATGGTTGGACAACAGATTCGATACTATTTGTTAGGCCATTTTTTAAAGTTGTCGAACAACAATATCAGTAAAAAATTAAGTGGCTTAACATCTCTCTTAGTTGGTATCAGGCAAGCTGCCTAATACTTGGTCTGACTATAAAAAATAACCTGGGAGTGACTAACATAGGAACAGATGGAATTGTTTATCTTTCTGATATATTGAGCTATCCAAATTTTAGCCATCCTTAAATAATGGATATATATTCAAATTCATGGTTTAGTAGTGTTCCTAGAAAAGTTGTGACAAATTATAAATACAATTAATTACATCCTAGTTATGGTTCGACAATGGAATGTAGACCTCGACGATACCTTGATATGTCGAATTTCCAAGTATTTTTAAATCATGATATCACAGTCGTTATTTTTCCTATCACCATTTTATATCCAAATTATAGACAATGGTTATGCAACAGATTCCATAGATTTTGTTAGACAATTTTTTTTAAAATGTCAAACTATAATGCTAATAAAAAATAAAGTGGCTTGATTTCTCTTTCAGTTTATATTAGCAAAACTGTCGAACAATAATATTATTAAAAAAATTGAAGCGACTCAATGTCTCTATCAGATGCAAATTTTATTATCAATCTATAAACGATAAAGGTTATAATTTCCATTGTAATAAAGCTTTTGCTATGCTGTAATTTATTCAATATATCAGAGGTGTGGTTTCTAAATCATGGTATTTTATGCGGATAAATTGTAATAAACAAAGTGCCAAACTAATCATGCAACTCGATGGGTTAACACACTTACTTTTTCATTGATATGTTCAGTATTTTGATGATGTTTGGTGTTCTCATATTTAATGTTGTTGTTAATGGTATTAGTCTCTTGATATCGTGTTTTGTAGCTTTACAATTGCTTCTTTTTGATGCGTTGGATTTGTACTATTAATAATTTTATCCAAAATCGATGGGTGCATTGTACTGTTATGTGCCACTTTCAATGTGATATTACTATTAATGGCCAGATATAAGAATTTTGGTTTAATTATGGGTTAATGTACTTCCTTTTTTATTGATGTATTCGGTATTATGATGATGTTTGGTATTCTAATATTTAATGTCGTCCTTAATGGAGTGTTTTTGTTAAATTGTTGAAAAAATTTATGGCACTGTTTATGTCACATAATAGTGTAAGTTTGTATCGAATGCAACTTAAATAAGAATTACAGCTGTTTACATAAAAAAATTACAAAAATAAAAAAATCCTAGTCGTTATTTAATTTTGTTATTATTGCTATGCTGTTTATTAAGTGTTATTGAAGTTGATGCAGTTTTGTGGATAGATGTTTATCTGAAAGAGATCAATACATCGTATTTGCTATGTATTATGTTTAATGCGAAATTAATGTGAAGTGTGAGGAGTATTTATGTGGATGTGAGAGGTTTTATACATAACTCTTGAAATTAATGTGTTTGTTATATATACATAGTTGTTTATGTTGTCGTACACAATTAAGAGAAATAAGTAAAGGAACTTGAAAGTATATCAGTAGATCATTGTTTCCATACACAACACACACACACAAAAAAAAAAAAAAAAAAAAAAAAAAAAGACAACAACAACAACAAATTGCTGGCATAATTGAGATATAGTTCTTGTTACAGGTAAGTGATAGGTCAATGTTTTTATCTTTCTATTGTAATATTGTATATGTTGGATTATGAATTCGTCTATAAAAGCTATTAATTTGTGTATAATAATATTATAGAATTGTAATAAAGAAATTGACGAACAATATTGTAG